TATATATATATATATATATATATATATATATATATATATATATATATATATATATATATATATACTAGATTCTGCAACATGGTCTGTTGAAATTGACAACCAACAACGGATGTTTTTGGTAGAGCAGTCACCAAAAAGTATTAAAAATATTCATTATAAAAGTAAGATGTTTCAGAGACATTTTTTTTTACCGACAAATAAAAAATGGTGAAAAAGAATTAAGAAATTGGCTTTTATATTCTAACTCGACGGGAAAACGTTTCTGCCTCTGTTGTCGTTTGTTTTCACCGATAAAGATAACCTTAACTTCAAGTGGATTTTCTGATTGAGCTCATACACTCTTAAGCCAAATGGTTCTTCAAAGAACCTTTAAAAGTTCGGCCGATGCTATTTCTATTCTAAATAAGCTATTCGCAAAACCAAATCTTGCAATCAATTTTTGAGTCACTTGCTGATGATAGATTTTCTTCAAATTTTGCATACATACTCTTGCTTGATGACAATACAATATTCAATCATTAGTTATGCAATAAGTTAACTAGTTTAGTTAATTTTCTTAAAAGGGTTCTTTGGAAGAAGTTTAAAATAAGGTACTTTAAAGAACCCGTTATAGTTCTTCATCGATTTTTGAATTTCTTGAACATTTTTATCAAATATTTATATAATATATAAGTATGTAATAAATTCCTAATATGTAATTATTCTTATTTAAGATATTAAGCAAGTTGCTTTACGCCAAAGTTAAAATGTAAACAACGACTTTCCTAAAAATTCAGTTTATATTGCAATTATTATATGGCATATGGCAATAAAGAAAAGAAAAACTAGTTTTAAACAATTAATATAAATATAATATTTTCAAACAATTGACAAAAATTTTATTTTACAATCCTATATTTCTATGTTTATAAAAAAATGTCATCAATTATAAAAAAGGTTTTCTATTGTTAAATCCATTGTCTAAAATTCAATAATTGAATGAATATATATATATATATATATATATATATATATATATATATATATATATATATATATATATATATATATATATATATATATATATATATATATATATATATATATATATATATATATATATATATATATATATATATATATATATATATATATATATATATATGTATATTATAACTTTTGCCAACTGAAAAAAAAAGTTCATGTTTTAAGTTACATGTTCAATTTTTTAAATCTCCACATCATTTATTTAACTATTTCACTATTTTAAATAATATACAATTTTACCTTGTTTTGTTAAGATTGAAGCAATAATTGACTGATATACAGCTCTAAAACTCAGTTTTATGGTTCTGAGGCCAGCTCGTAGTCAGATTTCCCGAATTCTGTGGTTGCTCTCAGAGAAACTGATTTCATCAACAGCTGTAAAATATGGATGGTGTCCCTGTTGTACTGTAAAATATGGATGACAGCTGTAAAATATGGATGGTGTCCCTGTTGTACTTTTGGTGTGCATTGTCGAGGCTACATTTGAAACCCTTTGGTACGGCATAGGGTTTATTAATAGTAATGAGATAATTGCTTGCACTATTAAATAGTGTACTGATTACTATCTATGCGTTGAATCAAGTTCTTTACCAAATTAAAAAATGAATAAAGCACTAAAAATTATAAAACACAAAAAACTATCACCATCAGCAAGTTCCTAAACCTATCATTCACTAATATTCGTGGTTTTCGAAGTAACTTTCCTTCTGTTAAGTCTTATCACTTGCAAAGTTCACCAGACTTGCTTTTTGTGATTTGGGTTCAGCTGTCTAATCTTATGATTATAGTGTTATGATTATTATCTTCCTTTATCAACCCTTATTTCCATATCTATCAGCAAAATTGTTTTTAAAAGTTCTGGAGAGCGATCTGGCTTGTCTAACTACCGGACGGTAGTTTTATGAATCTAGGACATTAGTCTTCTAAATCTTGAATCTAATAACTTCTTTTCTGATCATCAATACGGATTTCAATCTTCTCGTTCTACAGTCGATTTGCTAACAGTAATAAATGATAAGTTTTATCGTACATTAAATAGAGGTTGAGAGGTTAAGGCTATTTCTCTTGACATTTCTAAAGCTTTTGATAAAGTTTGGCATGCTGGTCTTCTCCATAAGCTTTCTTCTTACAGTTTATCAGGTAACATCTTTAAGATTATTAAATCCTTCCTTTCCAATCGTATTTTAATATTGTCCTCGTTGGACAGCACTCTTCTTCATATCCTGTAACTTCAGGGGTCACTCAAGGTTCAATCCTTGACGCTATATTTTTTTTTAATTAACATTAACAGTCTTCCAAATATTCCCACATCTGAGGTGGCATTGTTCTCTGATGATACTACCATTTATTCTTGTTTTGATAAGAAGCCAACGTTCTCTGGTTGCTTGGAGGGGGCATTTGAGCTTGAGAAGGATCTTACTTCTGATTCAGCATGGGGCTCACAATGGCTGATGAACTTTAATTCAGATAAAATCCAATTTATTTCAGCCAACTGTTACTGCAATAGCTTAGATCTTCCTATATTTATAAATGATGATGTACTCGACGAGTCATCGACCCCTTATATTCTAGGATTAACTCTTACTTTCAAGCTTTTCTTAACCATATATCAAATTCATTACAAAATTAGCATCTGCTAAAGTTGCATCTATTTATCGTGCTTGCCACTTTTTTATTCCGGATTCTATTCTTTATCTGTATAAATTGCAGCCAACCTACTTTTAACACGTCGTCGTAATGTTGCTTCTCTTTCTCTTTTCTACAAATGCTATAACATTTTTTTTTAGAAATAAAACCCAATTAAAAGAATTCAATAAAGTTGGAAAAAATTTTTTCCAATGGCTACACCTTGGCTTTGCCTGTGATGAGTTCATGTGATGAGACTTCTAGAAGCGCCTTAACAACCGCAGAAAAAAACAACATGGTCCTTGTCTTGAAGCTAGGAATCTTAGTCATGATCTTGAAAACTTAAAGCATTGGTCTTTGTCTCAAACCTTGTTTGAGACAAAGACTGCCTTGTACAATCTTGATTCTTGCAAAAAAATATCAACACAACGGACGGATTAGTAAATAATAAATCGTTGATCACCATAACTTTCCGCTGTTGTAAAGAAATGTACCTAGAAAAGTGTGTACTCTAGGTGGAAAGTTGTAAAAAGGTGTACTCTATTTTTATTTCTATTTATTAAGGTATAATAGAAATGTGCACTTATTTCTATTTCTGCTACTCTATTTCCTCTAGAAAGGAGTACTCTATTTCTTTACGCATATCAGGGCCGACAACACAGGTTTCTAAGTGGAGGGGCACATTTGTCAATTTCTCGAAAAAATCCTTTATATCTAAAAATTTCCAAAAATTTCTTAAAAAAAAAGTCCTTTAAAAAAAAGTTGGGGGGAGGAGGGGCAGCGCCCTCCGGCACTGTTGACCCTGATACCTAAGTAAAATATGTAAAATTTGAATTTTTATTTGTTTTTTTTTTTGTAGCTATTGGTCTTTTTATGTCTGCTATTTGTGGTTTAGTCAGTTTTGCAGTGTGTCTTGCACCTTTTTTTTGTTGGTACATTTTATTTTTAAGAATACAAGTTTATTTTCTATTATTAATAAAGATATCTTTTGTAAACTGCAACAGTACACTACACAATATACGATGATATAATTATATTATACATGTGTAAATAAGTTTTATAATGTGCATAAATGTTATAATAATACATCAAATAAAGACCTCATAGCAGAGCCGACAACACCAGTGTCTCCTGCAGCCCCCTCCCCTTTTCACACACACACGCACTCTTTTTTTAAAGGACCTTGTTTTTATTGTTTTAAGAAACTTCTAGATATAGAGGACTTTTATTAAAAATTGATGATCGTGCCCCTACACTTTGAAACCCGTGTCGTCGGCCCTGCATAGTATACATAAATGTGTGATCATTATTATGTTAGACTATTAATAACTTAAGTAAGTGACTTAACCTAGGTTTTGTGAAAACTTTCAAAGTCTTGGGCTTGGTCTTGGGTTGACGTTTTAATATCTTTATCTTAGTATTGATCCTGGAATCTCATTTCTTGGTCTTGGTCTTAGTCTTCGATTTTACTGTCTTCACTACATCTTTGCTTCGCACCCCCAAGAACATTTATACTAATATAATTCACTATTTAACCACATACTTTTAGCAAGCATTTGAAACACATCTTTTTATAATCATATTATTTACCTTAAAGTTGACTTTTTTTTATTGTTATTATTTTTTTAAATAAGACTGTTTAAATGGGGCAAAATAAAAAGTTAAGGTTGTACACTCATTGCCACAACCCTGAAGAGTGGATATTGTAACTGTTTGTAATCTTAAATCTCGGCGTGCTGTGGAATATAAAACAATCAAAGTATTATCATTTAGAGAATCAAACTAGACAACAGAAATACAGTGTTATACAATTTAGTTTTTTTAACAGTTCACTTTCTTATAAATAGACACACAAACTTTTTAATTTTCAAATGATAAATCGTTAAAAGATCGAAGCAGAAGTGTTGGAAAAGTGTTGAAATGAATTTGACATATCGGTAATTTTTCAAGGGTTTCAAATTTCAGTAATACTGGATGATGCTCAGTAATAATAATGCTCAGTTATCATTGGTTGAATGGATGGTTGGATTGCTGTTTAATTAGTATATTATTTAATTTACATTAAAATATTATTCGATTTACATCAAAAAAAAAAGTTTCTCTTTCTTTTAATGAAATAAAAAAATTCATTTTACTCTGCGTGAAATGAAAAAATTAATTTTGAAACACGGGCGAAAATTTGAACAAAAATATTAATTACTATTTCGGGTTAATTGTTTCATTCATCAACCAATTATGCAAAATCCTCAGGGAAATTTATTTAATAGCTATAAAAAACTCCTTAGGGGAATAAATAAACAATATGAACAAATATGAACTGAATTGTAGCATTTATAATACTAGTTTCCGACAGTTTTTAAAAATGGATTCTTGGATAAAAGCGGCGCTAGTCATAGATGTTCTTGTAATCGTTGCAAACACAATTGAAATTGGTATTTTGTTAAACAAATGGAGAACTTTAGATCGCATTGAACATTTATTACTTAGCCTTTCTATTTCAGACTTTTTAACTGGCATAACGATGTGTTGCCAAGATGTCTTGTTATTAAAGTATGTTTTATTTGACGAACCTCCGACAGATATTGCAGTAACTATTTTAGAATGCATGTTTCTTTTCTCAGTGTTTGCATCAAACTTTCATGTACTTGCAATAGCGGTTGAAAGGTTTTTTGCTGTAGTATTTCCAATGAAACACAGATTGTTTACAACAATCAAATGTAAAGTGTTTACAATTTCTTTTGTGTGGATAACTGCGACAATATTGTCTCCTAGCATATGGTTTCTAATTCAACATTTTGAAAGTGGAAAAGATGTTAAAAAATTTGGCTATTATGCATATGCTGCAATTTTAATGTTTGCTTGCATATCAGTGTTTATTATCTATTTAGCACTAGCCGCTGCTTTAGTTATTCGAAAGTGGTTAATATCAACTATGCTGCCAGATCAGAAATATCGAAATAGCAATACCACTTGGTTTTGTTTACTTATCGGATTTTCATTTATTGCTTGTTTTTTACCGATGTCGTTAGGGCATTTGTTCGTCTTTGCACATCCAATTGCTTCGCTGCTGTTTGGTTTGAATCATTTTTTAAATCCATTTATTTATTTTGCTAAATATTTTTACACGCGTAAACGAAGTGTTCATTTAGAGAAAAAAAGCCGGTATATATCAAGGGTGCGATTGCTATCACGCGGCGATTCTGCAGTAAAAGACCAATCAAAAAAATAGAATTCTTTTAAAACTTTCTTTTAGATCCTACAAATTTGCAAAATTCTGATTGGTTGTTTTCCATCGAATTTTAGAAACGTTTAAATAATTAAGTAATTTTATTTGAAACTGTAATTTATTTTGTTTGAGTAATCAAACTGTAAATATAACACAAATTAATATTTTCATGGAAATCGATTGATGCACGATCACAATGGTCACATCGATGACTAGACGATCACATTGCTTCAAGCGATTTATTCAAACATTTATGAAAGCACAAAGAATTTAAAGGATTATCTTTAAAAAAAAGTTCTTTTAATTTTACGTTTTTTTAAAAAAAAAAAAAAAGTTCTGATCGTAAAATGATTTTTCCTTAAACAAAAAATGTAAAAGCTTTTAAAAAAAGTCTTTAAAAAAGATCTTTATTTAAAGGATAACTTATATTTTTGATTATCTTTAATTTTATGCTTTCAATGACGGATTTTAAAATTGTAATTTAGTTTTGTATATAATTTCCTTTATGAAAATTTGAAAAATTATTGGAAAAAAAAATAGAATTATAATCTCATGCGCAAAAAGTGACTTTTAATATTATTTGTATTTGATTTTATATTTCTCAAAGGGGAATGATTTTAACTTTTTTTCTTATAATTTAAAGGATATTTTGTTTGTAAAAATTTACTTTTAAAAAAATGTGAGGATTAATTTACTTCCAAAAATACGTTGTAGTTAATGTTTTATTTGATTTTGAAATGTTGATTAATTTTTTATGATAAACAATATTGATAAACTCAGCGTTGTTACTTATTTTGTCAATTATCCACTTAATAACCATTGCAAGTACTAGCTAGCAAAAAAAAAAAGTTGGATTCAACTAGCGATGCAAGCTCATTATTAAATACTTCCTAACTGTGCATAGTGATTAACTTTGAACAAAGATTCAAAATTGGTTTAAATAAGGAAATCAGGGGTTTGAGATGTAGTTCTAATGTGCAGTAGTATGACAAATCCTTGAACTAAGTTCAATAATTTTATCTAATAATTTCTGATTCCCTAAGAAAATACCAGCTTTAGATGGCAATGAATAATTTGTCCGTACATAAATACGTATATCATTACATGTAATGATTGTATACTAATAATATATCATAATCTGATACTTGATAGTAACCATAAGTAACCATAAGTAAATAATTCGTTGCTTTGTTTTTTGTGTACTTTTCTCGCTGGTTTGATTGTAACAAGGTTTGAAAACATTAAACAATATGTGAAATTGCTATCTAAATTTTGTCTGTTGTTGCCAACTTCAACCTGCTAACCTTGTCTAATTATTATTATTAACTTATATTATATTTGCATAAAGTTTTATCTGTTCATAATAGGCAATAACTTAAACATTTTTTTCTGCACTAGACGATTTTTTTTTTGTTCTTTTTGCTCAAATGTTTCAAAAGTTTTTTATAACTTGTTCAAATTTTTTATTTAAAATTTATAAATAATGTTGTCATTTATAAATACAAATTTATAAATAATGTTGCCTCTAAAAAATGATTACATGAAAACTCTTACGGATGCCTTATAACAATTTTGCCAAAAAACTATTCAAGCAAATAACAAAATCATCAAATATATCTACCACGACATCAGATTTAAAATATATATTTTAGTATCGTATGAAAAAATTAAGTTTAAAAAGGTCTAAATTTAAACAATCAAATTTATTTTCTGTATCTCAGGTGAACATAAAGTACATACTTCATGTTCACCTAAGCAAAAATTTTACAGAAACAGATTTGTAAATTTTCTGTTTTTAGGCGAATTTAATTTCAATAAGGATTAAAATCTCATTTTAAAAAGTTTAAGAATTGGGTAAAACAAAAAGATATCTGATAGTGGTGATTGCAGCATGGCTGATTAGCTGTTTCATCAAATGTGCCAATATAATTTTGTCAGAAGTCCTAATTGCGTTTATCAAAATATTATATCTTAATTGCATTTATCAAAACTTTACCAGATGTATAACTGAACTGTGTGGAATGTATACCGTTATTTCCTAGAAGTCCTTACGGTCTTATTAGTGTACTACGGAATAGCATTTAACTAAAATGTTCGCCCCTCCTTCTTTACGAATGTCGCTTATTGGATTAGAACCCGGCGTTGAACCTCAGATCATTGCGTCGGGATGCTCTTAATCGGATGCAGCGTCATACGTCTAATCATAACAACCTTTGAAATATATATTGCAAAACTTTAGGGTACTTAAAAGGTTTTTTTTAGGTGATGAATTCTTTAAAATTTCTCCTTGTAAATTTTGAACATATAACGCTTCACTATACATAGCTGTTATTTGCTAAAGATAAGTTTGACTCTGGTATGGCATAGTAAAGTTTAATTATAAAAGCCTTTTGGTAACATTTTTTGCAAAATATCCCTGTTAAAAGATTATTTATTTCGATCTGTAATAATCGTTTTTATGGCACTTGAACTTAAATAGAACATGAAATATACAAATTGAGTTCTTATATATAGCAAATATTATAGAAAATTTGTAAGAATTCAATTTGTAACAACTAAAATAAGTTGCATCTAAAAAAAGTTGGTGCATCATTCATTACAAATAGAGAATAAAACTATATTTCTTGAAAAAGAAATAGTAAAAATATTTTAAAATATAAAGATTATAATCTTAGAGTTTCTATAAAATATACTAATATTAGTATATTTTATTAATTATTCATAATTAATTTCATACATATTTGTATTTTTTAACCATGTATACTATACACACCTTAATCTCTCAAACTTTGAATAGAAACTATTAGTCTGGTCAGTATTTTGGCTTCATCCCGGGTTGACATTATAGTTTCTGTTAAAGAAACTTAGTCAATCAGGTTTTTTTATTTTTTGAAATGTTTGTGTTTTTTGACTTCCGCTCTTCCAACAAAAAACAATTCAATTGTTCAATACAATTAGTTATTGAAATTTTATGCTTACTTTATAAAGTAAGCATAATAAATAAAATATTAAAATCAATTAACCGAATCAATTTGTTTATTCCAGACAAAGAATTAGCATTCTAAATTAGAATTTCTAATTATTCTAATTATTCAAAAAGTGAAAAAAAAAACTTGGTAAACAACTCGCAAATTTGTTAAACGAAGAAATTTTTATTGGAGCTTATTTGAAAAGCAATATTTAATTTTTTTGTGTCAAGCAAAATATGAGATAAACTATTTCACAACTAAAATTATCATAGGAAAGAAAACAAACCAAAATACTCTAGTTAAGGCGAATAAGTAAAACTTAAATCGAAATTTTTTGTAAAAAAAATCTCATTTTTTTACACTATAGCTTAAGTTTTAAATAAAATGAAATAAATGTAAATTTGTTTTTGTTTAGTGCAACTTTCTCTGTTTGTATTTAGAAAAAATTCTTAGAGTTTAAGTGTTTATGTCATTAAATTTCCTAAAAAATATGTTTTTTCACACAAAGTTATAAAGTTCTCCACTTAATAAGTGGAGAAATTTAAAAAACTAAGTAAACAAAAAAATTATATGCTGTAAGTAAAAGCTCTTTTTTTATATTATTTCCTTGAGGAATATTCTATCGTCTAAAAGACTTTGCAATAGTTGAATCGATGTATACAAAAACGTTATGTCACAAAAACTATTTTATTGGGAAACGAGAAAAAACGTATTAAATTTCAAAATTATTACTTTAATAAATTCAAAAAAAAATATGGGTGCTTTTTGACAACGTGTACGGAAAGGTCTGACTTGGAATGTTTTACTATACCATGGTGGAACTCTCTTCAAAGAACAAATTTTCATCAAAAAGTCAAATATAAAAAAAAAATGACTTAGAACGTTTTTGTATACATTGATTCAGTTAAAATCTCTACTAAAAATACCATTCAAGAACTTCAAATTTGAATGGTCTGGAAATTAATGCTAAAGTTAGAATTCTCTAAAATACCGCAATTATAAGTTTAATTAAAATTAATTTTATATAACAAATTAAGTTTATATAACATTAAATCTTGATAAACAAATTACATTTCAAAAGGTCGTTTTTTAAAAAGTAAGATTATTGGTGTTTCTCTTCCTTAAACAATCTAATCGTTTATGTAGAGCAGATATTTAATCGTTATTTCAGACAGGAAATATTTTGATTATTAAATCTAATTAACCACTGTTGGCAGTTTTTGGAAAAGTACCTTAACTACTTAGTACTTTGATTTTTCTACGAAAAAATAAATGGCTTTGTTAAACGCCTTTTTTATTTGGTTTTTATAATATTTTGACGTAAATGGATTGATTTTTGATAAATTTATTTTTTGTTTAATTAGATTAATTTTATTGGTTAAATTGTAAAAATAAATTAAAATTATTAAGTTATTAAAAGTAAGAGTATTATTATTAATTCTTATAAATAGTATAGATTAAATATTATATTAACTATATTAGATATATACTATTATAGTAATATTATTATTAACTAACAATAACCTAACGTATTTCATTATTATGTCATTGTGACTGTGGTTATTAATTTCAGAAATAAATTGATTGCGTGACTGTGTTTGTAGCCTAACGACTGCTTTATGTCCATTAAAACGGCAGTTAAAATGCTTTTGGCAGCATTTAATTGCTGTTTGTTAATGACCTAGTAAAAATTGATCACGTTTGTCAATGTCCAAATTAATTATTCTATTGCTCTGCACTTTGAACATTCATCTAGAAATAAATTTTGTTTTAAAAGTTTTTGAAGACCTTTTTTTCATCGCGTTTTATGCGTTTAAGCATTTTTATCTATCAACAGTTTTTTTCACTGTTGAGTATAATAACAATTCTAACAGACTCAATAGATAAAAACTGAAAAACAATTTACAACAACTTATAATTTCTTGAAATAAAATTCAACAAGATTTATCTATGATATATATGTTATAATCATTTATGTTACAACTACAATTATACAAAAAAATAAAATAGTTAAATTTATCAGTTACGTTATTTTATTTGTTTATATTTTAGTTCAATTTTGTCTATCTATATTTGTTGTCTACTAATGTCTATCTATATTTTAGGTTTATTATTTTTTGTATTAATACTTTGTCTATTATAGAGTAAATTCTTTTATTAAAGCTCTAATATGCAAAAATTTTTTCAAAGATTAAAAAAACAAGGTAATAAATTTCATAAACAAATGTTTATGAAATTATGGTATTTTGTAAGGCCTTAACATTAAAACTTATTTAAATTTAGATAAAAAAGACTTATTTGTTTTGATAAGCATTTTTTATGTGTGTAACGTATTAACGTTTAGTTTAATATGACAAGTATTTTTTTTTCAACATCTTCACTTCCAACAAGACTGCAAGCAACCGCTTTTAGAGTTGCCCAGCAAGCACAATCAACGTTGAAACAACGTTGAAAAAACACTAAAATTTCAGGTTGAAAAATGGTTGATTTTTGGTTAAAATGGAAAGGTTAAATGGAGTTTATAAACCTTAAAAATACAGCTTGTTTTTTGCGCTTCCTTAAATCCGCAAAATATTTATTTTTTGTACAATATTGTGATGTGGTGAGAAAGAAAAGAAACAATAATTCTTTATAAACTTATAATAGCAGTCATAATACCTTTTTATAGTACTCCACATCTTAATTCCAATTGTTACAGCTTTCACTTATTATTATTATTATTATTAGTTAATTTTATGTTATAATATTATATTATACTATTAGCTGTTATTATAGTTTTACAAATAATCCGTCCTTGTTCATTTTTTTTTTAACGCAAGGAACAAAATTATGATTTAAAGCAAATAAAACCAAAAAAGTAATTTAAACATTTTTAGAACAAAAATTTATACAAAATTAAAATTGTTTTTAAAACAATCTTGATGAAATCATGTTATCGTTATCTTCATTATCAATATTAAATTCATCTGTATCTTTATCACCCTCTGTCATCAGACTCATTTTGATTTGATGCAGGTTTTCCACCATCCAATCAATATGGTGCAAATTTCAAATAGTCTAAAATATATCTTTTCTGTTTTTTGTTTGTTTTTTTTTTGAACATCGGGTAACTGCATCTAAATAAAAACATCTTTAAAGTAAGGTATTTGTACACTTAAGAAATATTAATTTACTTCACATTGTTCACAAGCGAATGTGAACATTAAGTGATCAATAGTGGGACAAAAACAACTCATTATTCATATCTTCCAAATTTACTTCATTATAGACCAAGATATTAACCCTTTTGGATAAAGACACATATGCACACACATAACACAAATTTTATATATTTTATCCAAACTCAAATTAGTTTCACAAAGAGTAAGCAGATCTGGTGAACTTTGCAAGAGATAAGACTCCACAAAAGAAAAGTTACTTTGAAGACCACAAATATTAGTGATTGATAGATTTAGAGAACTTGGTGATGACAATGATTTTTTGTGTTTTATAGTTTTTATAGGTACTTTAGTCTTTTTTAAATTTGTTAAAGAACTTAATTCAAAGCACAAATAGTACTCAGTACACTATTTTTTTTTTTTTTTAGTTATTTAGATGCCCCAAGAAGACCTAAAGGTCTTGTCGGAGAGCACCGCGCATGTGCATTTAACCAGGAAGTTCACGCCTCCTTCCTTAATATGTCCCTTAACGCGAAAATATGTCCAGAGCTCGTTTCAAACCTGGATCTCCTGCTTATAAAGCAAGCATTGTAACCACTGCGCCTCGGCCGACTATTTCATAGTTCAAGTAATTGCTAGATTACTATTAATAAACCTTAAGTCGTAACAAAGGGCTCCAAATGCGGCCTCAACAATGCATACCAAAAGTAAAAACAGGAACAACATCCAAGCAGGGGCGAATTAAGGGTACCTGGGGCCTGAGGCAAAATTTAATTTGGGGCCATATTGACTATAGAAAAAGTGATAGGCATATAGCATTTAATATTTTGGCCATGTGTTTAAAAACTAAAGTGACATTTTCTGCACTTTTATTTGGCAAATTGTTCAAAAATGTTATCAAATGAGAGTTGTCATGGTCAACTCACTTTTAATACTTATCAAAGAAAACATGTCAAGCCGCTCTTGATTAGTTCTAGTTTAACATTCATTTTTTTATAAGATTAAATTGCGAAATTGCGAGAAACTTCTTTCTACTGTAAATTTTTAACTAATTGGCTTAGGTAGATTCTAAAAGCGACTGCAACATTCGGGAAAGTTTCTGCCAAACCACCATTGAGCAAAATGCGATACATCAACTTCTTGCTTATTTTTGTACCATCAAAATTTATTTGTATGACTGTGTAAGACCAAAATTAAACCATTTCCTCTACCAAGGTAACTTCAATGTCATTGGAGCAATGTGCTGCTAAAGTATCACAATGTTTCATCATTTTCATACAGGTCAATGTTTGTAAATTGTTCATGAACTTAAATCTGCTGGGCACATCTGAACATGCGGCATTTGTGAGCCAATGCTGTTTTGAATTTATCGATGATAGCAATCAGCACATCAACTCATTTTTTGCAATTAAGAGAACTTCTTCATCTAGCTTCACCTTTATCTAGCTGTTTCTTTCTTTTTCTGACTCTTTTAACTTCTTTTTTAAATACTTTACATTTGCACAACTTTTCTGTATTTCTCAAATTTATCCAATTCTGTTAAACATCTAAAAAATAGAACATACTCAGACAATGAATGCAACAAACCAACAGCTTTATTCAAATCTAAAATTGCACTTTGTAAAGCTAGACTTGTCTTATTGAATCTTTGCAGTTTTGTGTCCCAAAAAACAATCAAAGTATAAGTTTTCAATTCACCAAGACGTTTTGCTGATTCAAGTGCCTTTTGTTGAGTTTTACCTTTTAAACGTTCATCAGATGGATTGGTATCTAGAGCAGATTGAATATTCTATTAACCCTTCCGCAAAGCACTTTTTGCATCCCAACAGCACTTGTTGCATCAACCAACGTGTGTCTGATAGATTTTTAGGCACTGGTATCTTGCAATTAGCAAGCACTTTTGTCAGGATTGTCCATCAATGAGTGGAGGCACTAAAGAATGTGTGGTTCCATTGCACAATATTAAAAAAACTAACTGCTGCACTACAACAACCAACAGCATTTAACTGAATTTAATGAATGAGCAAAGCAAGGTGTGTAAAAAGCATATTCACAAACAGATAAAATAAAAAGCCTTAACATCAATGGTGTTAAGGCTCATATTTTCAAAACTTCAAGCAATGATTTTTATATTTCAATGAGTTAACTCATAGCTTAGCAACAATTACTTATGGAGTTTTGTAACTGTTGTTGTGTATTATAAAGAACAAATATTACTAGGAAAATTGTTCTTACTTTCTTGTTCTTTCTTTCCAATGGTAAACGATTTTAAATACTTCAAGTAAAAAAACGTGCTTTTTCAAAAAGTATGTAAACAAATTTCGAGAACTCGTAAGCCAGAGGCACGTGCCTCAATTATCTCTGTTATAATCCGTCCCTGAATCCATGTTCAACATGGCACTGTTAGTACTCTGATACTTTACAGCTGTTGATGGAATTAGTCTCTCTAAAAGGTACTACAAAGTTCAGGAAACCTGACTACCAGCCGGCCTCAGAAACATAAAACTAAGTTTTTAGAGCTGTACCATTAGGAGATAATAGAAGAAGTTGCCTAGTCATAAAAACAGAGATGCAATCAAAGCTCATGCATTGAGTCAAGAAGATCCAGCATTCAACATCCTAAACTAGAAACAATGTATTATAAATACATTTACGCCGCCAAATAGATAAAAAGGAGTGCGAGGCTGGTCAACAGATAGAATCTGTTTACACCTTGAGTCTTTGTCTAGGAGGTCTTCTACTAGACAGTAGCCAGAAGCGTCTAACATTTGCCTAAGTATTTTTATTTAGACACCATCTCTATTTATGTGTAATATATATTACACATTATGTGCAGCATATAAATAAACAACCATGTTTAGAATTATTCATTCTAGACATGATTTTTTTATTGTACCACTATTAGGTTAGGATGGGATAAGTTGTTGCTAATATGGTTAAAGACGCTGCTTAATGAGACAAATTCAATTAAAAAAGGCAAAAATTTACACCAAAAAAGTTTATTTTTTATTTTTTAAGGCTTAAAATATTAAAGTGATTATATGGTAAAAACTTTTTCGATTAAAAAAATTATTTTTTTTGTCGAAAAAGCGATTTTCGTTAAAAAAAATTAATTTTCAGTTTATTAGCCAACTTTGTATAAAATTTACCTGGTTTCTCAACCATATATAACATGATATGGTTTTAAAAACAAAAAATAGTTAAAAAATTTATTTTATTGATTATGAGTTAAGAAATTTACATAGTTACGTAGTAACTATGCAAATTTCTTAACTTAACGTCTATAGCAACCAAATTTGTTATTGATATATTCATCTAAGACCTAAATTTTAAATAGTTGTTTTGATTTTTGGGTCTGTATAATAACTAAATTACTTAAAAACCAAAATTGTAAATTTAATATTATTGTTAGTTAAAAGGAGAGAAAGAAGTCAAGTGTGAATTTATTTTAAAAAAAGTTTTATTATGGCAAAGCATACAAGTTTAAAAAAAAAAAAATTAAACCAGTATTTCAAGGTAACAAGTATATTAGGAAGCCAATTGATGTTGTTTTGGAAAAGTCTGCAGAAGGAACAAACAATAATGGAATAGATACATTGATATGTGCCAGTTCATCAAAATTAAACATTTCCTCAAATAAAGCCAATCAAAATTGTAATTCAACCTTTAGCTAAACATGACAACTTTTTTTTCTTTTTTCATTTCCCAATGTTAAAAGATTAATTTATAACATTAGATTGTGTGGTCGTTGCAAATCAAAAGATATTGAACTTGAATATCTTGTTAAAAAAACAAAAGAATTTTCATTACAATTTTGTATCAAATGTGCATCTTTTGATTGGACTTACTTGTTTAATTCATCACAAATATTTAGTATGCCAGAAATTCCAGAGGAGTCAAATCTTAAGATATTAAGATCAGAACTGTTATGAGATTTAGAGAAATTGGGAAAGGTCACAAGGCACAGATCATATTTGCTTGAATTTTTAATATGCCCCCACCAATGACTCTTAAGACATATAATAAAATAAACTCTAACCTCCTACCATTTTATAAAACTGTTTCTTGTGATAGCATTAAAGATGCTGTGAAGGAGGTTAGGAAAATTGTTTATCAAACTGCAGCTGAAAATGATATTGTAGGTTTACAAATTGGGATTGATGGCTCGTGGCAAAAAAGTGGTTGTTTGTCGCTTGATGGTGTATAAACTGCTATTGCTAAAGCTAACCGTAAAGTTGTTGATTTTCAGGTGTTTTCAAAGTTTTGTTGTGGATGTGCTTTGTGGAAAAGCAAGACGAATAAAAGTGATTATGAAAAGTTATAAAGATACATGTTTGTTACCTCAACCATTTCCAATCTTCAGGTGCTATGAAATCAGCAGGTGCTTTGTCTTTTTTTACGGAATCAATGACAAAGTACAATGTGCGTTATTCTCATTATATTGGAGATGGGGATGCTGAATCATATAAGAGTGAAGGCAAAGCCTTATGGAGATGATCTTATCCTAGTGAAGATAAAGTGTGTCGATCATGTCCAAAAACGCTTAGGCACCCGATCGTGTCAAATTCGAAGTGGCTTAAAAAGTAAAAAGTTAGATGACGGGATATTTTATTAGGAAAAGAAAGATTGTCTGACAAAATTATTAATAAAAAACAAAACTTTTATGGAATGAGCATTATGTTAATCGTAGTGCCAAGAATATATTCTTAAGAATACATTCTTGGCACTACGATCAGATGATTTATTATCGATATGCCTTGATGGTGCAACACAAAATTAAAACGAAGCGCTCGACCAGATAATCTGGAAAAAGTGTCCAAAAACCTTTTTGTTACAAAAAAGGTACTAGACCTTTGTGTTGCTTCAGTTGCAATGAATTAGAGTGATGGTTTGAGAAGTTTTACAAGAATTTTTGATTATTTGCATCTCTTGCCTGGAAGTTTTATGATCCAAGGATCGTGGAAGAAAGACATATCGAGGGTAAAAAAAACAACTAAAAAATCAACTCCTAAACAAAAAATGGCTAGAAAGAAAAGACGATGTATCAGAAAAGATTACATTGATAAGGAGAAAGAAAAAGAGCGAGTAGACTCTTATATTTCAGGAAATTTTTAACTAATATATTGTTTTTAAACTTTAAAGCTCAATTTCTCAATTGCATTTTTTTGTCTGACTGCAAACAGTAAACTATCCATACCTTTTTAACCAGATATGCAATTAACGTCAAACTTTCAGGATTGTTTCTTTAAAGATAGAACTGCAATACCTTACTAGAAACAACCTTAAAATTGTTTCCTTTTGAATATATTTATATTTTACTAAAGGTTTTGGCATCGATAATATCCTTTAAATTTAAAAGAGCTGCCATTTTGAAAATAATTATTATTTTCAGTTTTTCTAGTAAGAATTTGTTTATTACACTATAATCTAACAGTGTTGTAAGTTTTAGCTCGTAATGTCATAAAAAAGCTGAGAAAACGTAGTTTTTTTTTTAATTGATTTTTTTACATTTAATGCTGATTCAGCATAAAAAAGTGTAAATAAATTTTTATTTTTGCATTTTAAACTAAATTAAGTATTATTTAGTCTTAAAACTAATTTTGGTATGTAGAAAAGTTAGAAATCAAAAAATATTTTTTTTACTATATTATTATTAAATATTTTTTTTTTACTATACTTCCTTAAAGCAAACTAATTTTTAGTAAAAATTAATATAAAAAAATTCCAAAACAAATATCATAATATATATTTTTACATTTTTATGTAAAAATATATATTATGATATTTGTAATAATATGTACTAATTAAATAATAATAATGAAGATAATAATATAAAATAATTAAATAAATTATGACCATAAAATTTTAAAAATGTAAGGTATCTTTATTATTAATTTGACCTTATTTGTAATCAATTTTCAAATCTCTAATAACAATTATGATAAACTACTATATCTATAGTAAATAAAAATGTACTTTCTTTTATTTATTAATTTAAAAACAATTATTCTTTTATGATTTACTATTTAAAAATGTAATTTTAAATGCACAATTATTAACATATGTTCAAGCCAATTAAAAACTCCTCGTTGCTCTACGTTCAATTGTGTTAAATACAGCGTCCGCCTATCTTTTTTTGAAAAGAATAGTAGCTTCCGGACGTTTGTGTAAAAATACTCAATCAAATATTTACATATTTTCTTGAAATAATCGCTTTATGTTTTAACCTAATGACATTTGTTTTAGCTTATTTTAGAAATAAAAGCATTGAATCTAGTTTTAAATATTGAATTTATTTAAGCTTTTTATTTTATTTCTGATGATAAATTAGGTAAACTAAATAGTTAATTACAGAATTTTATTTTCAAAGTTTTTTTTCAAAGCAGGTTGATTTGCGTAATGCTTTAAATTTGAAGGAAACTCTTGAAAGCCTCAACAAACTAATCCGATATGTAAGGATGCACAACAAAGCAAAAATATCACGACAAATTCGTTATCTCTTTATTAGATTGGATCGTTATAGATACTTTACTTTTACTTTTGCATTTCTATTGCACCAATTAGCAAATCTATATAAAAATATTAATCCTCATATGGTTTATGAGTAAAAAAACATACCTCGTATTTTAATTACACTTTTTAACTGAGTAGATTCAGCAATCTATTGGGAACTATTAGAGTAACCTTTAAAAAATAGAAAATATTTTTTTCATTGAAACGTTTGCATATTTGTGATATAAACAAATTGTTGGTTGTGTCTTTTAAAGAAGTGTAACTGAAGCACAAAAGCCTCAATCTTTTTTTAATATCATCACAGGATATCTCAAACTATAGTACAAAAGATCATGTTTTGTTTTTTTCTTTTTTTTAAAAAAAATTGCTAAACCACGTTACTGTACATTTGTGCCTCTAGATTAGCATAGTTTATGATCATTTTTCCAATATAAAAAGTGTTATAAAAATTTTTTTTATGTATTTATACTTCTTAGAGACCGGTTTACATAACTTGCTTTGTTATTTTTTCAAAAATTTATCGTGCCACGCGTCGGTATCTTTTAAAAGAATCAAACAATTTTTTTCTTTATAGATAAAATATTTTGATTCTTCTAGAAGATGCCGACGCGAGGCCTGCTGTTAAACCATTTTTTGGCGCTTTTTTTAGCAAATTGTTGCATTTTAGGGTTTTGCGGTAAAACAAGACTAACTCGTTATTGCTAACAAGTCAAACTCGAGTTTGAAAAAAAATTTAAGAAGAAAAAGACAAATGATCAAAAATCATCTGACTTCTAACCCTTTTTTTATATATTTCCAATTTTGTAAAGAAAGTAAATTTGTATTTTATATATTAAAGATTCAATGTTTAAACAAAACCATTTATATATATATATATATATATATATATATATATATATATATATATATATATATATATATATATATATATATATATATATATATATATATATATATATATATATATATATATATGTATATATATATATATATATATATATATATATATATATATATATATATATATATATATATATATATATATATATATATTTGCTGTTTATATAATAAGAAAATATAATTACAAAGAAACATTTACATACAAAAAAAAGTTGATTTATAAAAACAGGCAGGGGCTCAAAAAAGATACGGATGACTAAAGTCACCACAATCTTTTCATAGAGCCCCTATGTGGGCTTTGCAAGTTTAAAATAGAATAAGATTGTTAAAAATACAATTGAACAATTCCACTATAACAAAAAGATAAAAAAAAAAAAAAACTTTCATAAATATTTACATTTAAAGAAAGAAAGGAAATAGTATCAATATAATTTTAACAATAGTCATTTAAAAAATTTTTAAATGACTATTGTTAAAAGGCACAATTTTTTTTTTCAAACTAAGAATAATGGAATTCGATGTTCATTTAGAAAAATTGCAAAATTATTTATAATGTTTAAAAATTTCATTTTTTATTAGAAACTTTAAGGAGTTTAATGATTTTACCGTATTTAAATGTTTGGTTTTTGAAATGTGTTCCATAGTTTCGGTTCACAGTATGCTATTCCATATTCAGAATACTTGCTCCTAATTCTAGGCAATTTATAAGTATTTCATTGGTTTATTCTAAGAGAGTAATTATTGTTAACATTTTTCGTAAATTTATTGTTAAAGGTTTTCGGAATCAGGCTTATATTTTATACAGGCAGTTATTATATTTATAGATAAAAATTAAGTGTTGGTAAATATTAATTTCATATATACTCATCATTTGCACGTCTTTCATTAGTGATTTTGCATTTTCATATATTTTTTTTCTTATATATTAGTCTGCATGCATGTTTTTGAAGAGAAAATTTTTTTTTAAGTTTTGTTGGATACTAGCCCATGTAATATTAGAATAGTAAATAAAACAATGTATTAGGCCAAAATATACTAGTTATATATGAATAAAAAAATAAGTAAATAAATAGTATACATATATAAATAAAAAAAATGTTTTTTCTTTGGAATTTCTTTTTTTTTTTTTTTTTTTAATTTTACGTTTAAAAAAATTTGATTCAATGCAAAAAATGTTTGCAAGTAAATGCAACTTTTTAAAAAAATGATCATGCCGAAAGAAATTCTCACGTTTTCATTGAAAAACTGAAACTCGATTTTTTTATTTGGAAAAAAATTTCTTATTTTGTTAAATATATGTTTCCCAAACCACATTTTATGCTAGTTACCACTAATAAAATTACAAGTTACTTCTAGTTGTTCTCTAGAAAAATTAACTTAAACTTTAAAATGCATTAATATCTGAATCTTGTACCCAATGGACCCATAGTACGTCCAAGACGTCCAAAATGGTCCGTTCGGATGTCCAAAATGGACGTGCCAAATTAAACGACTTTCGTCTGTCCATTTCGGACCGCTAAAATACGCCCAAAACAGTTCGTTTGAAGGCCCACAATAGACGTCTTACGGACCATTTTACGTTCGACCATCACACGTTCAACGTTCATACGTTCGTACATAATGTACGTACGTACATTATGTACGAACGTATGAACGTTGAACGTTCATACGTTCGTTCGCATTATGTATTGAAGAATTGAGTTTCATAGCTTAATTATTAGATTATGGTATTATCAAAAATGGCTTTCACTTCATGAAATAATGCTGATAACATATATCTTTAACACTAAAATCAAATATTGCTTAATTCTCAAAAAAAAAGTCAGGAAAAATATGATGTAAATATAATATTTTTATGAAAATGAACATTATTATTCACAACTTCTCAGAAACTTAACAGTCACTCTTTTTGACATATGCAAAATGAAGGAAAATGCTTTACTAACATATGGTATGTTTTTTTCCATATTAGAAAACATTTTTTAAAGAGAAATGTTAAAAAGAGGTTGTGCCTCCATATACGGTTATGCCCCCACTTCCCCTAAATACAATCTAGCAAAAACATTATTTTTTGGCTCGTTTTAATATATCGCCGATGGCACACTCGATGTTGCTTACATCATAATTAATTTTTTCACCAATCATAGTATCTAAAGAAATAAAATTTATAACAAAATTGTCTGTCAATCACAGAGCATGTTTTAGAAATTCAAACATTAACAATTAATTTTAAAAGCAAAGTAAAGAAAGTTTTGTTTTTGAATTTGATTTCCAAAAAGTCAACAAACTAAAAGACATCCACAATAAAAATTTATATTAAAATACTTATTATTAGTTTTGGAAAATCATACATAAAGAAACTAAATTAAAATAAAAAACGACCGCAAATATATTTGTAAATAATGAATCAGAGAAAATGAGCAATGTATTGCTGTTACAATGTACTACTGTTCATGTTCGGCTATTTAACTTTAACAAAAATATTTCAGTCTTATATAAGATGCAATAGCTACAAACTCGCATTCAATGCTCACCTTTTATGCATTTATAATAAGCAGTGCTTTTAAATTTACTTTTTTCTTTTCTTCCATCCTCGCTAAATAATGCTGTACTATGATAGCATTCAAAACATAACTGTTTTCCGTGGAGTCGCTCCTCATTTAATTAACCTTTATTGGAGAAACAAGTTGTCTAAGAAAAAAGTTAAACAAGTGTTTTTATTTTCCAAAATGATAACTTGAATGAGTCATCTACAGTATTGGACAAAACATTTACAACCAACATCGAACAATGCTAAAAAGTGTTCCTAATTTTACCTGTCATAAAAACGAAACGAACTATACAACCACTGCAAACAGCTCAAGAGTTTGGAGTCATAGCATGCCATGGCATGAGCAGTCAGCTGGCAGGTGACAGCACACAAGCAGAATTTCTTTGATAAGTGCTATTTTGCAGCGGACAAAACAATTGCAACTTTTTGGGTTTGTTTCATTTTCTTAAGTCTGGTCCGTGTCAACGTCATGGAAAATTTTTAATAATTAAAGGAAGTATTCAGAAGTTTCCAGAAGTTTCCAGAAGCATGTAGAAGCGTCCAGAAGTTTCCAGAAGAAGCATCTAGAAGCATTCAGAAGCATCCAGAAGTATCCAGAAACATTCAGAAGCATCCACGCGTCCAGAAGCTTCTAGAAGCATCTTAAAGAAGCATCTAGAATCTTCCAGAACAGATTCACACAGGTTCATTTTACTATATAAGAGACATGTAAACCGACATGTAATTCAGTCAGTATATGGAAGTCAATCAGTCTGTATTATCAAGACAGTTTATCGAAGTGAGTTTTATCAAAGTGTTTTATCGAAGAACATCAATACAAGAAGTGAAATACAACAAGTGTTTCATTACATCAATACAGTCCATATCCAACCAAGACGTTGTGTTCCACAGAGCATTATTGTATCATCACAAGGTAAATATAACACGGTAAGCCTTGAGAAGCGTGATTATTTATTTTTATTATTTTATTACTTTAAGTGCAAAAATGGCTCCCGACAGTCTTGGATTGGAACTAAGAAAGAAAGCTATTGGCGATTACGTAAGTGGAATGTCACAAAAAAGTATTTGTGATAAATATCGCGTGAAAAAATGGACCGTATCAAGACTATGTTCCAAATATCGTTCTACGGGGAAGTTGGCAGCAGATAACAAAGGTGGAAAACCATGTTCCACCACTTCTAAAGAAGAGTCTATGATTGTCAGATCCGTCAAGAAGGATCCCTAGATATCATCAGTCGAGATACAAAAGCAATTAGAGCTGCCTGTATCGGACCGAACAATCAGACGACGTGGTGTTGAAGCTGGATTGTTTTCTCTACGCCCTGCAAAGAAACCGCTGATTTCACTAAAGAACCAGAAGAAAAGACTCCTGTTTGCTACATCTCATATTTACTGGAATGTGCAGAAATGGCGAACTGTCCTGTTCAGTCATGAATTGAAGTTCAACATCATTGGGAGCGATGACATTTGTCGTGTACATCGACCGGCCGGAAAACGCCTCGATTTACGTTACTGTCATAAGACCATGAAGCATGGTAGAGGCAATGTAATGGTCTGGGGGTGTTTTTCTGCTAACGGTTTATGTCCAATACATCGAATTGATGGAATAATGGACCGTTTCATGTATAAAAATATCCTGAAAGATGTTATGTTACCTCATGCTAAATGGAATATGCCAATAAAATGGGTTTTTCAGCAAGACAACGATCCGAAACACACTGCAAAAGTAGTCAAGCAGTGGTTTTAAAACAATCACCTATTAGTGATGGATTGCCTCAATCTCCGGATTTCAACCCTATTGAGAACATGTGGGAGATTGTCAACCGTAGAATTAATCGTGAAGGTGCTTGTAATAAGGATCAACTGTTTGAACAAATCCAAAAGGCCTGGGCAGCGATTCCACAAAGCTTCATTGATCACTTGATCAAATCTATGCCTCGAAGAT